GAGATCAGGGCTAGAAGCAGTAGGACTTGGTGGTGGGTGGGGCATAGAGAGGGGCAGAGTGAAAGCAGGTTGCCAAGGGAAACACATAGGCTGTGGCATGTGCAGGAAAAAGGATCATGGTGTGATATGGAACAGGATTTATTTTGGAGGCATTTTTTTGTTTTAATCACAGTAAATTCGAGGTACGTTTGTGACACAGAATTGGAGACCTAACGTTGGAATTGGATAAGCCTGCAGCGTTCTGAGGAGCACGCTGGGCTGCAGAAAGGCGTCTGTCAGTCTTTGGCACGGAGGTAATAGCTGAGGTTCTGAGCTGGAATGAGATCACACAGGAAGAGCAGGAGTGAGGGAAGTCCTTGGCCAGAGCCTTGAGGAACTCTACCATTTAATAGCTGGTGGCAGATAATAAATGTTGCTAAGGAAATAAGGTTAACGTGGTGAGAAATATAAGTAGACAACCAGGAGAGTTTGATATAGAGAAAAGCCTGAGAGGGTCTTATTGACAGTGTCAGATTCTGCTAAGAGATCAAGAAAGAAGTGGGTCAGAAATCCTCCTCTTGATGTAACATTACTGAGGTCACTGAGCGCCCTGGCAAGGGCAGTGAGGTGGGCTGCTGGTGCCGCAGCCTTCTCAGCCGGAAGGTGAGTGGAAGGCGAGGAAACGGGGAACAGCAAGAACACGCAGCCGCCCTCAGAATTTGGAGGGTAAGGGGTAGGAGAGACGATGATGCCTGGAGTGGGATGTGGCTTTTTTATTTCTAAATGACAGCTGTCTATGTAAGGTTGAAAGCAAGTGTACGGGATCCAGTGGGGAGGAAGTAGCTGAGACGTATACATGAGAGAGAGGGATGGGTATGGTGCATGGCAGTGGTCAGCCGGTGTGCGGTGACATGCTGGTGTGCCCCAAGAAGCTTTAAAACATGAGCTACCTGACTACTGAGTCAGGGGCACTGACCTCTTTTCCCTTCGATTGTCAAATAAAAATAAATGACAATAGCTAACTCAACAACAGCCGTCCAGTGTGAATGAACCAAAAAAACGATACTTTGTGTGTGTGTGTGTGTGTGATCAGCAAAACATGACATACTTTTGGTGTGCTGCAGAATTGTAACTGGTTGCTGTGTGCCATGAGTAGGAAAAAGGTCAAAAATTGCTAGCAGATGGTAAACTTCCTAAGAATAAAATGATGGGAACCAATTCAAGGAAGAGTGATTGGCCTTGAAAAGTAGAGTCGGTCCTACTGCCGCACTCAGAGGTGGTGGCTGGGTACAGACCTAGGAGGATTGTAGTTTGGGAGACGGAAGATGAGGGACTTCTTGTCTGAATGCTTCTACTGTCTCAGTGTAGACGTGGGGAGGTAAGGAGGTTTAAGGTGTGAGGCCAGGAAAGAACGTTTGAAACAGCTGTTATATAGAATGGAAGGACTAGGTAATGAAGAAGTTGTGATCGATTGCCAGGCAGTTTTGAAGGCTCGAGTTGGCGGATCATGAATGTATGGCATCCTGCTGCTCTAGGTAGTATTTCTCAAGCTGTCTTCAGCTCCTTGGGTTCAGGCACAGAGAAGGGCAATCCCAGGTTTCAACTATGGTAGAGTAGAGGCTGTTGGCTTTGGAAAGGCAGAGTTGGAGGATCGGAGAGCCCTGGTGGTTCATAAAAGAAACCCCAAGCCCTAACCCCAAGGTCCATGGGTGGGGGAGGAGGAATGAATAAACAACCACCACATGAGAGGCAAGGGAAGCAGTATCCTCAGGGGAATGCTACATTTCAGGAGAGGCAAACCCATGAGTGTTTACAAAGCCATAGTTACAGAGAACAAAGATGCAATGTATGAATTTAGACCCAGGCGAGACATTCTATTACAGGGAGTTCAAAGCCCCAGTACCCATTTCTTTTACCGGACAAGAGTTGCTCTGAGCCTAGTGGGTATGGATCAGCTGGTTGAGTGTCGTCCCATGCACCAGGTGGTCACCCATTTGATTCCAGTTGGCATATGCCTGGGTTGTGGGCTCCATCCCCAGTGGGGGGTGGGGGGGTATCTCTTTGAGGAGGTAGCCTATCTCGTCGATGTTTCTACATTTCTCTCCCTCTCCCTTCCTCTCTCTGAAATCAATAAAAACATGTTTTAAAAAAGAATACAATTAAGAAAAAAAAAAAAAAAAGAGTTGCTTTGAAGCAGGCTCCACTGTGACTGCTCTACATAAATACCTTAGAAATCGGTGGAGATCATATCCAGCCACACAATTAATTACTAAGAGGGGGAGGGCTGTTCAATTCTTATCCCAGCTGCAAGTAATATGAATAGTTGGAGAGAGCTGCGGGAGAAAGAATAGATTCTTTTTCATGTAAAGAATGGCAACTCACAGTGTGAAAGCAGAAAGAAAAATTAATGGAATTCATCAGCTTAACCTTGATTTACAAGCTTCTGAATGAGGACAATGGGATCTCTGTGACAATGTACTTTAGGCCAGGAGAACCTGCCCTGACTTTGTGCTGTTGGCGGGGAGAAGCAGGAGGTTCCCTGACACGTGCGTTTATCAAGTGCATCTGCAGTGTCATTCGGCCACTCATTTGCATCCTCTCTCATCCTTCTCTGTGCTCATTGAGCATGATGGACTCGTTTGGCAAATCCTTCAGGTGGTGGGAGAACAGGGAGAGGAGGAAGCTTACTCTGGACCGTAAATCAAAAGCTACTCGCCTCTCTCTCCATTCTCCCCACCCTCCTTGATCATCATGATGATTTGTAGGAAAGAAAATGAATGGCTAGGGGATGTGATCCTGTGAGTCTGTTGATAGGTGCTCAGAGCATCATGGAGAGAGAGTTCTGGTATAGTCTTCTGGTTTGACTTGAATTTTTGATTAGAGAGAAAAAGAAATTTGTCAAGTTCTCCAACTTGCATCTCAGGGAATTTCACTGTGTCCTACTGAATCAGGTAGTGGAGATGCCCCTCTTCCTCCTGATGGTCAGTGTTGGCCAGCAGCAAGTGGCATTTGTTTGATGCTGTGTGCCACACACTGTGCTGAGCACTTTGTGTTAATTTTCTTTATTTCCCCAAAATAATAGTCTGGTATTATTTACTTTCTTCTTTTCCTTTTTATTGAACTTATTGGGGTGACATCGATTAACAAATTTATAGAGGTTTCATGTGCCCAATTCCACAGCATGTCATCTATATACTGGATTGTGTGTGATCACCACCCCAGGTCATGTTTCAGAATGTACAACTGAGATTCAGGACGTTAAATGCTCAGCCCAAGATCACACAGCACATTAGTGACAGAGCCTGAATTTGGGGCCAGATACATCTCCGGACATCGCATTCTTCACAACAGCACTTTAGAGTGGTATTTTCCAACAAATATAATGAGAGCCACATGTGAAAATTTTAATCTTCTAGCTGCTACAGTAGAAGTACAAAGAAAGAGGTGAACTTAATTTTGACAACATTTGATTTGACCCAATATATGCAGAATATTATCATTTTAACATATGATCACTTTAAAAATTATTACTGAGATATTTTTACATTCATTTTCCATACTAAGTCTTTGAAATCCAGGGTCTTTATGTTGAGAGCAAATCTCCATTTAGACTAGCCACATTTCAGGGGCTCTGTTGCCACAACAGGCTACTGGTTACTATGCTGGACCTCATAGCTCTAAGTTCTGTTTATGGAAACGGAGTTGCTGGCCCCAGCGCATCGGCTGAGTTGGTTACAGGTTTTGCTTTGAGATAAGGAGAAAGAGGCCTTCCTGTGTGTGCTGTTGGTCTCTGCGATATAATGTCAGTCCCCATCCCTTTCCCCGCGTGGTGCCTTCTCTTCTAAAAGTGTGTGTGCTCTAAATAGATCTCCACAAAATTTGTGGAGTCCTTAATAAACACTTTATGATACAGAGGAAAAAACAAACAAAAAACAACAACAAACAACAAAGGGCCAGACTGTTGCTCAGGTTACGATATACATAGGCCTGTATCCCTTCACTATCTGTTTCTACCGGGGCAGTAAGTTAATCCATTTGACTTTTTTTTTGTTATCTGTTCTTACAGGATTTTTGCAGGGACAAAATGAAATTATGCATTTAATATAATTCCTGAAAAGTAGGATGTGATTAATATGTCAGCCATTATTACACACTTATATGCAAAGTCTTTGTCTAGTTACTACAGAAGATAGGTATTTACCAGTCCCTAACCATGAATACAAGAGCAGGGTATAGACTATGTGGAAGTTACAAAACCATTTTACAAATAACCTATATCTATTTGCAGACAGGTAACTTTATACATTACTTCAGTTTTCATCAGCCATTCTCAATTGGAGAACTTGGTTATTTTCATCTCTCCTGGTAGATGTATGACATTGAGATCTATTTTGAAGGCCCTTAGATAGTGATTGTCTCTACATTTTCTGGGGCACTTACCTTAATTAAGGTCTACAATTTGATGCGTAGAAAGAAAGGGGAGCTTTTTAATATCTTTATATAATTGTTGTGAGATGATGAGTTCTTTTCCTGCTTTTAATTTTTTATCCAAATGAAAAGTATTTTAGGGGTGTGTCAATAAAATGATCACTTTCATAATACAGGCATGATATGAGATAGGAGTAATTTTTATTATACATTTCTGTTTTTAAGAATTTAAGTTGCTATCACAGAAATGATTTGGCTCAGAAGCTTGTGTTGGTCGATTTCAGGATACTAGCCTGTATGTGTCCAGCACCAGGGGCCTAACGAAGTGTTCTCACTCTGTTTACGATACTAATAAAGATCAGTCAGCCATGGTGGTATTACCATATAAGCTCATTGAAGTCACACATAAATGTCTACCCATGTTGTTTTTGAAATTGAACAAAAACAGGTGGTTATTTGTCATTGATGGACAAGTCACTCTATCTCCATAATTTGCCTTCGGTCTCAGTCACTGGGCTGTGGAAGATTTAAGGATATATCCATTTACTTTCTCACTGAACTAACATTGTTTTTGTCTACCCATTCTTGTGCAGAGGTTACTACATAATAATTGTGCCTTTGAAGAAATCTCGTGGGAAATTTATCAAGCCATGGGAGAGTCCAGATGAAATGGAATTAGATGAGGTAATCATGTCTTTGTTGACAGTGCCTTTCACTAGTTATTTAATTTATTAAACATCTTCTTCCTCTCTATAGAGACCTTTCAGCGTCCAGTCCAGTTGCTGACTTCTGCATGGCTGGCTGGTGGGATAGCTCAGTGCTGTGGGTGTGTTAATCTCTAGGCATCACAACAAAGAGCCTTTTGCTTTAATTAAAAAAACATTAAGCTGCAATAAAAGCTTACAACCTGTCTAATCTTTGTTGGCTTTAGTATTTTGCCCCTTGCCCTTTGTAAAACATGTTGCAGAAGTGGGAAAGGTTGAAGTGACTTGTCAGCAAAGACTTAATCGCCAATGTTATGAATTCCAAAGTCCACTTCATTAATGCAGTGGTAGCTACAGCTGTTACAAATTTCAAATTGCATTTTGCACCAGAGCTCAACATTTGACCTACTGTGTGCCCTTGACCACCTTCTCACAGAATTATGCTGACTAGCATATGTTTGCTTTATTCTATATTCCGTAGGATTTCAGAATCAAAATTGCATTTTATTGCAGGGCCAAAGCTAAAAAAAAAAATTACAGAATTTTAAGCCAAGGAAGAAATACAGTAAAATGAGTATGACTTTATTTTCCAAAATCTTACCATAAGAGTGGGTGCATTTTAATGTATACTCTTTTTGCTGAAAGAACTTGTTTTTTAAGTTAATACATAGTGTAAAGAACAAGACCTACTTATTACATGCCTCTAGTTAGATGAGAAAGCTGTGATCAGAAGTATTAAGCCAGATTCCCCAGAAGACCATAGCAAGTTAGTGGCTGGGGTTCACATTTTGAAATACAGAAGAAACTTTGCTGCTTTAACATGATGCTGGTTTGAATCAGTTCAGAAGGCAAATAAAAAGTCCCGCATTTGGGGAAATGGGAGAATTTATTTTATTGTGATTATTTACAACATCGGCCCCCTATTATCACCCAACCTGTTATTTCTAGGTATTTTCCCTACCTCAAATTAGTTCAGACAGAGCAGGGAAAAGCAGAAATTCTCTAACTGCATTACAGGGAAGTGATGTTTATTTCATAAGTGTCTGCACTAAGGAGACAGTAATCTGACAGAGAAGGGCTGGTAGCTTCTTTTGGCAGACAGATGTCATCTCCAGAAGTGTGGTTCGTCATCCCCCACTTCATGTATCTGAGTTAAACTCAAATTGAGAAGGGGAGCTGAGTTCAAGGTCAGGGTTACACTTTTGTGTCACTGTTTACTGATTAGATGAATACTAGAGGAATACACCATTGATACACCATTTTAATAATCTTGTCAAGTAATTTATGTTAATAAATTTTATTTTTCTTCTGTTGATAATAAAGGAACATAATCATTTTTCTATTATATTAGAGGAAAAGTTATCCTTCATCTGAATGTGCAAAATGATCAGCTGGTCTTCTGTAAACATTTTGAAACAAATCATACTTTTAGTTGCAATCAGTTAATCCTGAGATAGTCTTTATTATAGTCTTTATTATTTTAATCAATTCTCAGCTGGATTACAAAACTCAGTTGGATTTGGATTTAAAATGTAAAGGCCATTTGTAGAATCTATGAATTGTTCTACCTATTAAAAAAAAAAAAAGTTTTCAAGGAATTCAGATCCAGGCCAACAATGACATCAAATACTTTTAATTTGTTTATTTTTAAAAATTTATTTTTATTAAATGCATTGGGGTGACATTGGTTAATAGGATCATATAGGTTTCAAGTGTACATTTCTATGTTACATGATCTGTATATTGTAAATAATAAAATTTCCTCATTATTGAGCTATTTGGTGACAAGTAATAGGAAGGCGATTCTCGTTTACAGCCAGTTTTTAACCTCTGGAAGGCACAGCAACGCTAATGGATTGAAGTATAGCGCTATCTGACATTGAACTTTCTTGCAATTAAATTCTATGGGTCTGCGCTGCTGAGTCCCATAACAAGGGGTCATTTTAATCATCCCACACATTGTGGTACATTAATCTGTGTAATAGTTTGATAAAGAACATTTATTAATTCAGAATTTTGGGGTCAGGATGGGTTGTTACCCACTTTTCTTACTGATATAATTGAGACCACATTGTAGAATTAATGGTGGAAGAAATAAGATATGCATTGACTGGAAAATGAAAATTATTTCTGATAAAAAAAATTTAAAAAATCCCAAAGCTCTTGATATATCTTCTGGAATTACTGCCGATACATCTTGTAGCTGTTGTGGAGGGAAACAAATGAAAGTAGGCTATGACCTCACCTTATGCTTACTCATTCGGTTTCTGATCCCTGCAGACTGGTTTTTGTCTTTTTGTGTGTATTTTTTTTCCTGCCATGGGTAATAAAAGCGTTGTAGTAATTTTATCTACAGCTTAGTACAGCCAGATTTGACAAAGCAGTGTTCCTTTCCTAAATGTATTTGACCAAGTGATTTTTTTAGAACAGTCTATAATTCAAATTGTTCAAACCATATCGTCCTATAGAACTGTGGCCTAAGGGGGTTTCCACACATATGCCTCATGTCTAGGCCCATAAAAAAATGGAAAGAAGCCTTTCAAATAGAGTCACTCTCAATATTATTTTTTGAGCACATTTAACCTTTGTCTGGGGATAATTTCCCCATAATAAATTTATAGACTGGAACTCCTATTGTCAAGGTCAGACTGGGCAGAGCAGACATTTCATTGATAGTCAAAATGGATTTGGGGCAGAATCACTCCTAAAATGTTAGTTACATTTAACTCCGGGCAGGCCTTGTAGTACATCATAAGCTTTTCATCGCATTGTACTTCAAAGCTTGCTGTAAAATAATGTGGTCATTTGTGGTTGGAACTTCAGCGTACGAGCTAACTTCAGTGTCATCTGAGCATACTTGGCTCATATAAAGTAGAACACAGGAAGCATCCTATGGAGATGAGAGCAACCTGCAGGGGCAGAGTGGATTTCCCAACTTTGACCTTAATGAATGGCCTCATGGGCTCTAAAGAGCACGAAAACTCAAATATTTTTTTTCTAATATACTTCCTCTAAATCTTCTAAAGAAACCCTAGCAAAAGGTATTCACAGGGGTGACAGTGATATGGATGAATTATGACAGTTGCCTACATCTGAAATATGAATAAAATCAAGGTAGGGTTTGATCACTGAAGTAGAAGAGAGGACACAGTCCCATAAACAACTGATGGTAAATGTTTCTGATTAACAAACTTCAAAAAGCTGCTCAGCTCATCTGCAGTGCATTCGTCCTTCCCCAAGTAATAGACCATCGTTGACTGCGTATCAACAATAACCTTCGCAATAACTTTTCAAGTGTAGCATTAAATATATGTTTTCAGAATTTTAAAAATAGTATGTAAAAAGAACCCAGGAAAAAGAGACCAAAGTACATGCTCATCTGTGCTAATAAGAGCAGATGCACAAAATTTACATATATCTAAATATAGACTGAGTTAAAACAGTGTAGATTACCCTTTACCTTCATTGTTGCATTTGTTCCCTTGATGTTGTGCAACCAATAAGTAAAAGTATGGTTTAAAATCTCTCTTACCTATAGTTTCATTTTATTTCACCAGTTGAGTCCAATTATGTATCACCACTTTCTGTTATGCCTCAGTTACCTCATTTATAAAAAGAGGATAACAGTGACCTAAATTATAGGGTTATTATGAGGAATAAATGAACTAATACATGTCTAGGCTCCAAAGAACAGGGACACCTAGTAAGTGCTTAATAAATATTAGCTGCTTTTGTCATTTTCATCATTATTATGAGTAAACCTAAATTTGGCAATAGGATTGCAAGACAGTACCAAGTTTCTGACCTTGATTTATTATAACCCAAATGGTGCATAATTGATCAGCTTACCTGTGTTTATCATCAGATGGTCCCAATGTGCTACACAGGTTATGCCCTACCTACTACAGTTCTCATAAAATAGCTTACATTTCATGTAGTTCTAAATCAATAAATTCAAATTTCACAGCAAACTTGAGAATATTATAAATGAAGTTATTCAAAAATAACATGACACAGATTATATAACGAAAAGACTATTTTTCCCCTTTTTTTTAGGTTACAATTTTAAACCAGCTAATCACACTTACAATTCTCAGTGTAGAAGAGAGAACTTTATCATCAGGCTCCTGACACACAGTTTTGGTGTTTGTCGTGTGTAAAACGCACAGCCGTTGTTATTATAGAAGCCTGGCCGTGATTATGCTGGGCCCTCATTCTACTAAGAAGATATCATTAGTTTGGTTTTTACTATTTTCATTTCCATTTTTAAAAACAAAAGTAGTCGGTAATTTTGCCATACAGTTTTCATACGTACGTTAATCAAAGAGCCAGTCAAGCCAGAAACTATTAAATGAATGACAGTGTCTATTTAATACTGTCCGTTAAAAATCAGTCATCGGATTTTATTCCTGCAGATCTGAGGGAATTTGCATCATGGAAATGATCTCATTGCGAAAAACCATCTGAAATGGCACTAACCTCTCTAAAGTTAGTAATGTTTGAGAAGTTTAGAGGGCTTGATCTGAGTTTACTACTTGTTGAGTAAGTAACAACAGAGCCTGCGTGACGGGCTTTTGCGAATCAAGCTGACTTTTTTCTTGAGGCCAAGTTGTAGTGCACTCTTGCCCTTTGAGAGGATTTTATTACAGTGGACAGTGACATGGGCTGCTGCTGAAGGAGCTAATTGCCCCGTGTCTGTGGCCTGGGCCTTGCCATAGCAGTCCAGCTTCTTACCTTGACAGCAAGACAAACATTTGCAAGAGCAAACGGAGATTTTAGAGATGCTGACATGCTACGTGAAGTGTGGACAATGTGCCCTTGGGTGGTTCCCTGTCCTGAACTAACTTCTCCTGTAGAACTGTCATGAAGTTGAGTTACCATTGTTTACATCTCTTTGTTTTCCACATTTTTCCTTAAGCTGCTCAAAGAGATATCCAGGAAACGCAGAAGCATCCGTTATGGGAGAGAAGTTGAATTAAAGCCATATATAGCTGCTCACTTTGATGTCCTGCCCACTGAGTTCACCCTGGGAGATGACAAACACTACGGAGGATTTACAAACAAGCAACTCCAAAGTGGTCAAGAATATGTCTTCTTTGTGTTAGCAGTGATGGAACACGCAGAGTCTGTAAGTTAATTGTGATGGCATCTATTTTCTATGGCATTCTCTCTTTTTTTTTTTTCCTTTATTGATTTTAGAAAGAGGAAGGGAGAGGGAGAGAGATAGAAACATCAATGAGAGAGAACATCGATTGGCTGCCTCCAGCATGCCCCCCACTGGGGATTTGGCCCACAACCTGGGCATGTGCCCTGACCAGGAATCGAACTAGCGACCTCTTGGTGCATGGATTGGGTGCTTCAGGTACACGAAGTGCCAGATTGTTAGGGCACAGTTCTCAAGACCTTTTGATGGGACACATGTACTGATAGGAGGGTGATAGCCGATGAGTCCTCAGAGTCTCCTTCCTCCTCCTTTTCACATGGCTGTTATCAACAAAACAAAAACCTTTCCCCAGTACCTACTAGACCTCAGCCTGGGTGATTACAATAGGAGCAAGCTCTGTGATGGCACGTAGCGTATTTGCAGGTGTTTGAAAATATTAAGGGGGCGACTGCATTCTGTTCTCCTGTAACTGCCCGCAGTGCGCTCTTTCCAGACGCACAGGGAAGTTCTGTCCAGGAGACAGCAAGCGCAGCCAGGCTCTTTAATTGTAGCAATTTACCAGTGATTTTTATCAGCGAAAAGCCGAGGAAGTTAGAAAATAATTCAATAAAACAGAATTCCTAAGGTACGCTAAATAATGAGTTGTCTTCGTTTCTGTAATTCATCTTGCTCTTCTGTCATTTTATGCTTCAGTTGCTTTGAATGTTAAAGAGAGAGAGAGGGAGAGGAACTGGAGATGGGAAGGGGGTGGTGTGGAAGTGGCAGTTCACATTACCATTGAATACGCGTGTTCTAAACTGCATCTTTCAGATAGATTAGGGCCTAAAACTGACTGGCGTGGCAGCTCGACTGAGCCAGTCACGTCCCTACAGAAGAAGCCGGAGATGTAGCAAAGATGTCTCCACGTCAGGTGTGAGCATGGACAGTGGGGCTCCTCTGCAGATGACTGAAGGAATTCCCCCGTGGAGAATCAAAGCGCAAAGGCAGCCTCTCTGCCTGCTTTACCTTTGTGCACAGAATGTCGTTTGAAAACACAGTGACGGGCTTCCTGGAATTTTAATGCACCTCTGGTTGAAGGATGTAAGGCAAAACATCAAGGGAATGGGATGTTGGAAATCATCTTTTTCTTTTTTTAAAATGACTTTTAGATACTTGAAAGTAACTTTCTTTAAATAGCTCTAGGACGTTTCAGAAAGCGCATTCAGATCAGTGAGGTGGATCAGAGAACCCAGCACAGAAGAGAAATCTCATCAGATCATCAGGCTGATTGTACCCACTGCCAGAGACTCTGGTTTCTAATGTCTCCCAAATGCTTTGACTAGTGTTTAAATGCTTCGCCACGATGCGCGCCTGCACCCTCCCACGCACCTCATCACACTGTTTCATTAATTGTGTAATTAGGATTTTTTTTACAAATATATTATCTGAATTGTCCCTTCATCCCCTTTCTCAGAATTGCTCTCAAAGCTAACAGTACGGCTTTTATGTTTCATATGTTTTCAGCATTTACTTTATAGAAAAGACTTATATTCAGCTAGTGTAGCTTTGGCAGAGATACCTTCCTTTTGTAAGCCTCTAATTTTCTGAATAATTGTTGATAAAGCACCTAATTACTCCCAAGGATGGACTGATAATTTGCATAGGGAAAAGTGTCCCCCTCAACAAAGACAGAAGCTTTACCCCAAACCATTGCCTTATATCAAGAACATCAGAGGACTGGTTTAGATGAGCAGAGGTTTGACCTTTTCTATTACCCCACCTGCTGAACAAAGTTTGTGTTTTACGAGGCTGGTGCCATTTTATGGTTTTGTTTTCCTTTCATTTTTCGCATCTCTGATTCCTGATCTATGTACTTTGGGGAAACCTCTGCTTAGATTTCTCTCTTAGCTGACGAAGGCCAAGGCTCTTGGTAAAGAATTTGAAGTCAGAGAATTTTGCTTACTTTTGTCTGCCAGTTTGAGTGTGACCTACAAAACGGAGAGGAGAAAGTGGGAATCAAAACAATAATGCTGATGTGAAGAAGCATGCTTCTTGGATAGTTAGTGTCTGTCTAATCCCTTGTGTAAATCTTTACATTGCACTTACCTTTTTCTTACCTGCTTCTGAGAAGGTTGTAAATATACTGAGCTGTTGTCTTCTTTGGTGCATTAGGAAACATGAGCCTAGTTCATGTCCCGCCGGGGCCGAGTGAGGGACACGGGAAGGGAGAATGGGTGACCAGCACACAGTGGGGCATGTGCCCTCCAGCTGGACTACTGAGCTTGTCCCGCTTAAAATGAGAATTCGTACCCTTAACAAAGTTTATGAAAATGCAGGTTAAAAAATGAAATATATTTACTGGTCATGGAATAAATGAGCATATTGTTTCATACCTTGATATTCTTCGCCATTTGAAGAGATGAACATTTTCTTTTATTCAACCAAGAATTGTTGGGGACTCACTATTGCAAAGTTCTGAGCTAGCTGCTTTAAGCATACAAACTGAATAGTGTATAAATGCCTATCATCTAGAAGTTTCTATTTTCATTAAAGAAAAGAAGACCTGTGCACAGATTTAAAAAAATAAAAGTTTGGTGAATACCATTAAAAAAGGAATAAGAGACTACCTAAATTTTAAAAATTATTTTGACCTATATTTTGCGGAACAACTGGTTATTTCCGGTTAAATGAATTAGCTTAATTGAAGGCAGTGTTTAAGGAAAGCCTTGGAGATTACTTGGATTTCCTGAGCTGAGTGGCGTGGAATTTGTTACAGGGCTACAGAGAGAGAACAGAGCATTTGGGGAGTGGTAACAAGAAGTTCACTGTGATGGAACATGTTATATGTATTTTAGAACAAAACTGTGGAGGCCCTTATGAACCATGCTAAGATGTCTAGGTTTTATTCAGGAATCACCTGGAAGATTTCATAGCCGTAGTTTAGGGTAACTCTCTCAGCAGTAGAGATTTTGAGGAAGGAGGAAACTCTTGGTAGGGTTTGGATGAGCATGAATGAGGTCCTGAAGAAAAATGGTACCCATGGGATTGGAAAGAGGGTGGATGGAAATGGGGGACATAGATTAGGTGAAATCAGCAGTTTCTAATTTTAGTTATTGTGAGGGTGAGAGAAATAAGCAAGTGAAAAGGAGGGTATGTCTGAGAAGTAGGCAAGTGACACATGTGGTTTGAGGATACATGTAGGAATCTCTAGAAACAATTGGAAATGAAGGTCTGGGACTTGGTGGGGTTTCTGAGTTTAGGAACATTAATGAGAAAGTACAGTGATACCTCGGTTCTCGAACGCCTCGGATTTCGACCAAATCGGTATTCGACCAGGAGATTCGAGAAACTTTTGTCTTGGAATCCGAACAAATATTTGGAACTCGAACTTCCGAGATGAGCCGAGTTGAGCCGAATGGCGTTCATTCGGCCCAGCGCGCCTTGCTTGCGTCCTCAGTGTGAGTGCAGAGAGAGAGTCACGCTTTGTGGAGAGAGTCACGCTTTGTGGAGAGAGTCACGCTTTACACTGAATTTAACCCTTAGACATACTGTACACTTTTATTTCTTGTTGAGACTTATGTTTTTCTACATATTATATACAAATTAGGCCAGTAAATAGGCATTTTCTGGGGCTTGGAACGAATTAATCCAGTTTCCATTATTTCCTATTGGGTTTCATTGCTTCGGTTCTCGAACAATTTGGTTCTCGACCGTCCTCCTGGAACGAATTATGTTCGAGAACCGAAGTATCACTGTATTCTGCATCGAGGTTGGTTTGTACAGCTGGGGATCATCTTGCCAAATAAGGGAGAGAAAGAGGGACTAGTGGAAAGTAAAATGTGAGATGATCCTCATCATCTCAAGAGGGATGATCCTCAGCAAGGTTGGGAGGGACTAGGTGACGACTAAGCTAACAGGGCCAGAGGAGGGAGTTGTAAAGGAGGCTCCGTCGACTGTGGCAGATCTGGAAAAGATGTCTGGAAGGGTGAGAACTGAATAATGGCAATTAAATTTGGCAAATGAGAGAAGGGGACCCATGCAGGGGTGAGAAGAGAGGAGGAGTGGGTGGTAGAAGAGGTGGGGTGGCCCATGGATGTGGATCGGTCTCTCCTGGAAAAGGAAAAGGTGTGACCTTCAAGGGGGGCAGAGTTGAAAGAATACAGTTTTAATATAGGCTAAAACAGGACAGAACAAAATAAAATATTATAAAATCCAAATTCATAGATACTCAGTCCTTTCTTTCATCGAGTAACTGTATTTGTCCCAACTTTGAGGAAAAATTGACAAATATAATTATGTATAGATTTGAATTTTACAAAATGATGATTTGATATCTAGATACATTGTGGAATGGTTACCAAGATCTAGATGATAAACATATCTATTGCCCTGGCCAGTTTTGCTCAGTGGTTAGAGCATTGGCCCGAAGAGCATTGGCAGACCAGAGTCCCAGGTTCGATTCTGGCCAAAGGCACGTACCTCGGTTGCGGTTCATCCCCGGCCCTGGTCGGTTCATGCAGGAGGCAACTGGTCAGTGTGTCCCTCTCATATCAATGTTTCTCTCTCTCTCCCCCACTCTCTCTCCCCCCCTCCCACTCTATCTGAAGATATTTGAGAAAGTGTCCTTGTATGAGGATTAAAATATATATATATATTTTTTTTATGTATCTCATCACACATAGTAACTCTTCTTTTGTGTGTTGTGAGAATGCTTAAGATCTACTCTCAAAAATTTCAAGAACACAGTACTGTATTAACTATAGTCACCATGCTGTACATAGATCCTCAGAACTTACTCTTCTTATAACTGGAGGTTTGAATCCTATAACCTACATCTCCTCATTTCCACCCTCCAGCCTTTGTCAATCACCATTCTATTCTCTGCCCTCAGATAAATGGATCTATGCTGTTGCAAGTGGCAGGTTTTCCTTCTCTTTTAATGGCTGAATAATATTCCCTTGTATATGTATGTGTATATGTGTGTGTGTGTGTACACACGTTTTCTTTGTTCATTCATCCATCCAAGGACACTTAGGTTGTTTCCATATCTTAGATATTATGAATAATGAGGCAGTAACACTGGTGTGCAGCCACCTCTTCAAGATGATGATTTCATTTCTTTTGAATATATACCCAGAAGTGGAATTGCTGGATCATATGATCTATTTTTAATGTTTTGAGGAACCAATATACTGTTTTACATAATGGCTGTACCAATTTACATTCCCACCAACACTCTGTAAGATTTCCCTTTTTTCTCTATCAATCAGTTGGGAATAATCACACCAACATTTGAGCAGTAACTAATAAAACTGAATGGAAATTTTCTGATATATCCTTTTAAATTCTAAAAATGCTGTGTTTTGGAAAGCCATAGCATCAGTTTCATATACCTTTCATCTATAATTTGAACATTGGACTTCTCTTTTGAAGTGTAGACTTTGTTGTTTGGTCTCAACTTTCTAACTAATGTACAGTGCTGAGTACTGAGGACTATTTACATGATGTGACACTTAATTAAATAGTAATATTTTTCTCTACAAATGTTTGCTTTTTAAAGTTGGTCTCCTTAACTGGGTGGTAATGTCATGAAAGCTGGAACTAACAATCCTGTTGGTTTTCACACAGCAGGGACACAATGGCACAACGTCAATGCTCATTGAACATTTCGCCACCGGTTAATTAACTAGTATCGTACTTCATAAGACTATTTAATATGCCATAGATAGACCCCAGTGAAGTATATCTGGAGTAGTGTACACCATCAAAAATGATTTCATTATAAAATACTTCACCGTCTAAGGAAATTTAGATTGCAAAGCCTCTTCACTTTTTCCTTCTTCCTTCCCCCCTTTTCTCCTCCCCTTCTCCTGCCTTCTTCTCCTTTTTATTTACTAACATTGTTTCACACACTTAGCATCAAATCCACTCTGTCTTGAATCTTTGCTTCTTCTAATGTGAAAGATATACACTAGAAAGACATTCATTTTTAACTAATACAGACTCTGTTTTTCCTCAGAAGATGTATGCAGCCAGCCCCTACTCTGACCCTGTTGTGTCGATGGATCTGGATCCACAGCCAATCACAGATGAAGAAGAAGGCTTGATCTGGGTCGTAGGTCCTGTCCTTGCAGTGGTCTTTATCATCTGCATTGTCATAGCCATTCTTCTTTATAAAAGGTAAGTTTGCCCGGTATTTCTGTTGCAGTCTTGGGGGCCACCTTATTTGAAGACTTGGTAATCCTTCTGTGGTCATTATGGTGTTGGTCTTATTAGAAATGTTTCCATGTAGCCCCAGTCATCATTGGGAGATGCTGTCATTAGCTAGAACAAAATGTAAAGACTGTGTTATTTATAGTCACATTCAGTGTGTGTGGTATAGACCTGGTTGGTTGCCCAGCATGCACGAATCCTAGCCTCTGACTTTTGAGCTATTTCATGCAGTATGAGCACTTTTCATGACATTTGGGACAGTAGTACATTCACAATCAGGTAATCCCATGCAAGCTTGCATTTGATTGTTTTAAACAATTAATTGCTCAATTTCAGCATGATTTTTGAAACACTAGAAATGTGCACATTTGTGTCCATTTCATAACTCTGATGTGCATATGTACAGAGATTTTTCCTGTAGTTATTTCTCAAAACTTAGCCAAGTAGCTAAAATTTGTAGATTAGAGAAGGAAAACAAAAAGAGGAAGAAAAGAAACTTTTTCCTTCCTGCTTTCCGTCTAACCCTTATTCTACATCTTCAATATTGAATTCTCATTTGTGTCCAAAACGGGATGTGAGGTACAATTTTCCTTTAAAAAAAAAAAAAAAAAACATAATTACCTCAGCTGTGTACTCCCAAATACCAATCGGACTTAGTGTCCCTGATTACAATTAGGATGCAAACAATTCACATCCACCCCATGTTTTCTGACTGTCCACTCTTTTTAAATTCCATTTCTGACTTCATTACATATACGCAAGGTTTTTTCCCCCCAAGATCACTGCTTAGTCAGAAGGGAGAACATTAATAATTCTTTATTAATTATTCTTTTTTTTACTTAAAATATCATTATAATATTATAAATATATACAGTTAAAAAGTTAACATATATAATACACTCTCTCAAACATTTAGAAAGACTAAATTCTGAATTATTTCCCTTTATATCAATTTTTCTTTTCTTCCAATTCAAGTTGTATTTCATGAAACTTTCTGTTCCCATTTTCCTCGGTAGTGTGTCCTCTTTCAGAATACTCTTTGATGAACTTTTCCCTCTACTATAAAATAGCCTGCCTCTCTCTCTCTCCCTCCCTCCTTCCCTCCTTCCCACCTTCTCTTTCCCCTCCTCCTCCTCATGAACTTGACATTCAAAATCAATGAGAGTTTCTTGCTGATTCTTGTTTGCATGCTTAATCTGATCATCTTATTCCCATTGTTTCATTTTCCTATCCATATAGCTCTTTTCATTAGGTTTAAATTATTATCTCTACCTGTATTCCTTTGTTAAACATAATCCTCTGTTCCTGGAATAGCCTTTATTTTATTTTTCTCTTGACTCAAAAGTATATTCTTCCAGACACTTCTTTGACAAACTTTCTCTTATGAAGCTGTATTCCATTTTATTTCACCATGAAGAAAGTATATTTCACTAAGGAAAAATGGGCAAATTAAAGAAAGAAGTCCATAACCATAACCCATTAAATTACCTATCCTATTTCAGAGCTAGAAAGAATGAAAGAAATATCCATCATTATTATTTTTTCCTGATCACTGCTATCGCTCAATTATCCATGTCATAAAATAGCTGAAAAATCAAGTGATTGAAGGCCAAAATCTCCTCTTAGTTGATGGTTTCAATCTTCTCATCCCAATTTGTATCTTATCAGTATGCATCGTGTTTGATGGCCTCTGTCTCGTACAGGAGGTAAGAGCAGGAAACAGGAGGTCGCCACATGTCCCAGAACAGTAATCATGGTTGAACCCAAGCAAGAGCTGGAAGCCTTTGCTGTTCACGGGCTGCACTTATTACCAGAAGAGGATACAGGAATTCAAAGCAAGAGTAGAATTGCAGTGGTTTTCATTGAAAGTTTGTTCAGGTTATCGAATCCTACTCTGGGAGTCAGATCACCAACCGTGCTTGCTGGCCTCTGCATTGCTTGACCACATCACGTGACATTTCGTGACTATTCAAAAAGGACAAAAAGCTTGCCTTATTTTTTTTAAGTTGTGTTTTAGTCAGCTATATCTGACTACCCTCAAGTCGGGTCACTGAACAGAGGCGTGCATGAGATTTATGAATTAGTTATGTAAATGTGAAGAAATAGGATTTGATCCTTAATAACTTTTTCCATTCATAACTCAGTTTTCTTCATTTGCATGTGCTTGGGGGGAAAAGAAATCCAACAGTTATATAATTTTTTTCCCTAATCCTGCAGAGAAGAGGCATCACATTTAAAGGTTTTATGACTCCGTTGAAATAGAGGCGCGTTTCAGCCTGTGTGTGTGAGCGTTGTCTAATGCAATTGTTGGGAGATGCGCACATCCCCGAATGCTAAGTATATTTAGCTAACCATCTGAAGGCCCGTGAAGCATTTCTGAAATAGAAATGCTTGCTTCAGCAGTAAAGAACATTCCTGACTTGAAATTCAAGTAGACCCAACAATGTCCTTCTTGATTATCATGTGGCAGTTCAAGAGGAAATCTGTAGGCAATGAATAGTGTCTTTTATTGCTTGGATTCTGGGCACAGCTAATTATGTAATAAGTACTTCATCCTTTTAGGTGCCTTTCCTTTTATATGCCAGTTATTGAAATGGACTTTGTTTTTAATCTAGTAATTTGAAAACCTACAACACATTGATAATCACTGACACAACAGTGTCACCGAGGTTTTGTTAAGGGCCCTAAAATACCTTCTGAATCATCAGAAAATTAAAATATGCTTCGTAGGTCTTTAGTGTTACAAATTACCTTGCACTGTGATTTTTTGGGGGGGAAATTTTGTACTCTATATGGGATATGTAAAATACTTTTAAAATGCAAAATAGAGATGAGATGGTATCAAGGTTTAGAAAAACACTGGACTAGGAATCAGTGAAATTGAGCTTAAGTCCCAGCCCTGTGAGTCGCTGGCTGTGTGGGGTGGAAAGTCATGCCAGCACTCTGGGCCTCCGTTTCCCCATTTATAAACTAAGTAGGTGGGCTAGACAATTAAACTTTTTAAACAATAATGCTCTATAATGAGAACATAAACACAAAGTAATAGACTATGCACTATATTATTGCTGTCCCCGGGTTTGCGTGTATGTTTTTTAAATATGACTCCAAATATGACTCCTCACCCCACTGCAGAGGAACCCATAAAGCAACGGAGTGCTCTTAGCTAGTCATCCGTCCTGTACCTTTGTGACATACGTAAGGTGTTTCAGCCATTAGCTCTAGAACTGTTCAGGAATTCTTTATATAGAACATATTTAATAATAAAATGTCAAGCTGACTCTAGGGGAAATCATTCCAGGATGGGTGAAGAGTGTTGTGGGGTACTATTTAAAAAGAGAAAACACAGGGTCGGAAGCTGGAAAGATCTAAGGCATGGTCTAGAGTAGACAAAACTGTCATCCTTGAACAGAATAGTCTGATCTGAACGGACTCTGTAGAGAGAGTAAATACTTTTCAAACCCACCCCCAGACTTTTATGGGTGACGGCCATGAGGCAGATGTGACTCAAGTAAGACTTCGGCTGTCCCCAGATCCAACATGGGGCTTCGCCTCTGCGGTCTTCTCTCTTTATGTCCACCCTGCAGGTACTTCTAAGCTGTCATCAAAGCAAGTCCTTCCTCAGGCCTGAACACCTTTCCTATCCCTCCACAGCCACTCCTCCAGGCCTGGGGAGCGCCAACTCATCCTTTAGAGGGAGGCAAAGATGCCACCGACTATGTAAATATCTTTTGGGGTGCCTCCCTCTCGTCCTCTCCTCTCTACCGGCTCAGGCTGCTCAGGGTCCCTTTTCTACGCTCTCAAAGCACTTTCTGCGGCTCTGTTACACACTGGACCACATCACCGCAGCTGCCTGTTGTCTTAGCCCTCCTGCCCCTCCCCCCAACAGTGCGGGTTAAGAACTCCGTCTGGCTCCTCACCGCGCCCTCTGTGCCCAGTAGAGCATGGCAAGGGGGATGTTGAATGAACAGATTTCTACAAGCCAAATAGTCTTAACACACTCTGTTCCACCACTTGTTGACTCCATCACTCAGTATCGCCTTTATCTTGGCTGGAAAGAGCTGTGATAAAACCCTCTGCCTATAATTTAAATATGCTGGTTCCAATAGTCTTCTAACTTAGATATCGGCACCAGGTGTGTACCCATATGTGTGGTGGGGCCGGCAATTCTACAGAAGAGGGAGTGACATGCACACTGTGTATTCATTCATCTGAACATCAACAGCTTTTTAATACATAAAACTGATAATTCGCTAAGTGGTTCTCTTCCATCCAGAAGAATAGATTTTTCCTACAGCTGCTGACCTCATTGATTGAAAAATGAGCAGGTTAGAGACATATATGTAGGATTTTTTTTTTTAAACCTGGCACCACCAGGTAAATCACTTTAACATTAAGAAAAGAATTAACTAGTATGTTTGATATCGTTTTCATTATTCTCTTTGTATGTGTTTTGTACAGTTTAAATGTGGCTTTTGTATTCTGGAAAAGATATGAACTAAATTATCTCAAAGCCAGACACTCTAGCAAGACAAGTATATATTTTGTTGGCATTACGGTAGACTTTATAGGGAGAACTCAGCAGATACTTTGCAATTCGCCTCAACATGGAGATTGTTCAGATTACTTCTTTACAGGTAAAGAGTGCACTTCCCGCAGAAGGAACATGGTTATTTAAAGAATCCACACATTGCCCCAGGTGAAGGTGTCCGTGAGCATGAGCTCAGTGTGTTCACAGACAGCAGCGCCTCTCTGACTAGGAAATTCTCTGCCACGTCAATGGCTGGTAGTAAAATATGTTTCTGGATTAGCCCAGCTATACAAATGGGTCATGCTCTGTAGATTTATAATGATGAGTATTACTTTTTCCAAAACTGAAAATGTATTTAGCCTTTTATTGGAAAAAAAGATTTATGATCACCTGACTTGTCAAAAGGTGTTTGAAGAAATAATTTCCACCACTTTATTACCTGATGGTGTATTATACAGTTGTGCAAATTTTTGTGCAGTTCAATGCAGTTTGCAAGTATTTTATATCATTAAGGGAAGAACCTACCTCTTAATGAAGAACTCTTCATTTTAAATGAATGAACTTCTTATATGGAATAGCATATTCCCATTAAGTGCATTAGTAGTTTTCTCATGGTATGTTTTGTAAAAATCAAATTATATTTCTGCCTTCAAAGACATCCTGGAGTATAATTAACTGTGGCAGTATTTTGTAACTTGATGGATAAAAGTGAATATGACATTAACACACTCAAACAAATGCTTTACTTAGCAATGTGCCCTCATGTCTTCCATTTACTTGATGATTAGAAGCCTTTAAATATTTTGATATACTGTCATTTGCTAATGTGTGTAAGTTATGTGTCCCCACCTGTGAGCACTGTTAAACCTTGGTTGTCATGGTTACTCTTATTACCATTGGCCAACTAACATTTAGCCTTTCTTTTTCTTTTTCATTTTTATTTTTTGCTGCATTAAAATGGAGCAGTAAACCTGACAGGTGAGGAATAGAGAACAAACCCCTTTAATGCTCAGTAGGAAAAAATAAGATGTGGGTAGATTTTGCAGCTATTGAGGGGGTGAGGGTGGAGGTTGGGTGTGAAAGATAATACCTGGCAAGTAGAACATGGATCAAGCCCACATTCATAAAATATCTTGATATTAAAATGATTCTGGGAGAAGTTTGTCGGGGTCCTAAGAAGATAAGACAGATGCTCTTCATTTAAAGCTAAATGTAGAAGGCAGTGCCACCAGTCTGAGTTGTGTTTGTCGTGAAGGTGAAATGAACATCTGTATGTGTTCATGTGTCTGCAGAAGAGAAATGCGAGGTGTCCCATAGGCTGTTTTGTTCTGTTTCGTTTAAGGTCAGTTTTTAAGTTTGATCTCAGGATAGTAATATTGGTGCTTGTTCAACCCTCCAAATATTGATGGTAGTGTTTTAATGAAAACCCTCATGTAATTCCAAATTATTTTCCATGCCTTCCAGCTTTGAATAATCATAGTAATCATCATAATAATAATATCTGTACTGTGTGATTATTGATTGGTCTAATCTAACCTTCTAGCTCTCTAATTCATATCTATCCATATATTCATTTCTATATGGATAGATATATATTCCTGATTAAAATTAAACTGAGAAAAGGATCTCAGTGTTCATCTAACCTGCCTCCTCCCACTCACTGTTGTATTCCAGTGGTTCCCAATGAGTCGGCCCTGGATCAGTAGCATCGGCCTTACCAGAGAACTTGAAATACAAAGTCTCCCCACCCCCACAAACTACTGAATCAGAGACTGGGCATGGATCGGGTCAAGCCAACCTATAGTTAACAAACCCTCGAAGGAAATTCTGATGCATGCTGAAGTTTGAGAACCACTACTGCATTCTTTTCCCTAAAATTGCTTAACATGGTCAGCAAGCTATACTACACTTTCACTGACAGGAAGCTTGCTACCTTCAGGAGGGTCCTCTTTAGTCATTTATTTATATATCTATCACCAGTTATCATTGATTCAGGTGAAAAACACACGAAAAATACAGTTTTTCTTCCAGCCAAAAGAGAAAACTCTTTGAACCCACTTAATATACTTAGAAATCTACCTTTCTATTATAACAACTTGATCACTTACTTCTTGTCCTATTAATATGAAAGTTAGGACAAAAGTTAGATCTCATCTTCTAACCCTCCTCCTCCATTCCGTAAGTGAAGAAATTGAGATTTGTAGTTGACTTACCCAAGGAGATACACACCAGTAGTGGCAGAGTTGGGGTTACAGTCCTAATGGTGTCAGAACTGTGAAGTTCTGTTTGAACTGATACCTTTGTATGTTAATAGTAAAGAGTTCAAATAAATAATAGTTTTCCAGAAACCTGTATCCCCAGAGGTCTGAATATCTTTGTTCCTTTAGCTTTGATCTTCCATACACTCTCCCTTGTTCTTGCTTTCCACTTTGCCCCTACATAAGAATAAGTGAAGATAAAGCACCCCTTGGACCACAGAGTAGCATTTTTGTTGTACATTATTCACATCCCAAATAAACAAGTTTTTATACTGTTAGTTTCTGCCATCTCTGAAAGGGCAGGTCATTTCTGTTTCCTTTTGACCCATGATAACTCCTGTGCTTGGTAAATAACTTCCCACTGCAAGGAATGAACTTACACTGGGCTTTATACTCTTAATAGAAAAAACAAAATAGCAAGGCAGCATTTACATTCTCCTTGGAGTCACTGTTCTTTGCTTTTTTACTAGTTTAATGTGAGAGTAATGAGATCTCTGCAAACTTAGAAAACAATGTTACTAAATACTTTCTTGTCGGACCTGATTTAGACCGTTAAATGCCATTTAAAACTTTACAACAGTAAATTCAGTTTTTAAAGCTCTTTACTACTTCTTATAACTGATGACGGCCAAACCCCTCATTTTGCAAACCTTGAGTAGAGATTCTTTTTGTTAGGCAACAAGCATTTTAGCACATTTCTGTTTTAAAAGAACGTGATAAGAGTGTGGGAAGCCAGAACGAGCCACGTTGCCATCATCCAACTGAAACTAAACAAAACAAAATTTAAACTGCTGGAGTTTCTTTAGGTGGCTAGGATTTTTGGAGTCTGAGATCTTGGAGGTCATTTTATTTGAACAGAAAAGGTGAGGGAGAAGCTACTGATTAAAGGTCAGGCTACCCCTTCGATTTTTTTTATAAGTAAGAATTGTAATTTTACTCCTGGGCTTTGGGTTTTCCAAGACTCATATGGGCAACAAGATGTGATTTTCCCGCTTCCCTGGCCCTTGGCGAGATGGAGTTTCTTTAGAGAGTATCTTGTTCTCTTAATCTTGGGGTCCCTCACCTGGCCTCACCGAAGAGGAAGATAAGGAGGATGTTCCACTTTATCAGTAGGAGAGAAATAGTCTCCTTGCCCAGATATTTCTACTTCTGGTTTCCATAGTCCTGCAGCAGTGACAGTAGAGCCGCTGTGAGAAGGGATAGAAATCGGGTTTCAGTCACAGGGTCTGGCTCATCAGTAAAGACACGTGTGTGGAAAGACCAGTGCCTGAGACAGGCCACAGGGGTGACTTGAAATGAGAAGCCCGACCATCTGCTTGTTATACGTGGTGTGCGTTAGTCAGCCACACTCCGTGACGTTTTGTTAACCCGTTTAGATTCTGCATCTTCAGTGGTGACATGAATCTGTCGGTGTGGGGAGGCAGGCATGCCCAGCATAAATACAGTGACGTTTTCCACTCTGAAACGGGTCATCCTCTCCTTCTTTCCCCTGGTCTTCTGAGCCCCTTTCTGCTCCTCCTCACATAGTTTTCGCCAGCCTCCGTCTCTTCTCTTCTTCCCATCTTACACTCCACAGAACTGGAGCCACCTCATCTGGCTCACCCAGGAAAAGGCATTTAGACAGCTGTAGTTTGCCAAAGGCATGGCTCTTGAGCAAACTGAGTGTGCTCTCCCTTGGCCTCCCTCTTCGCTGTGTCCCTGGTTAGTTTCATTTGATACAGAGGAGCAGAGGTAGAAGGAAGACCACTCGCTTTTCATGGAACGATCCTGGGTGACACTGAGTGGGAGCCCACAGGGACACAAATAAGCTCTATCACAGTCATACAGAAAAGAGAAGTTTCTAAAGGCTCCCCGGCCCCCTTTTCCCTGGGTTAGAATGGCCCTGCTTTGAGCAAGAGAGATGTAGGATCATGACTCTAGTCTGGGCGTTCCTGCCATCAGTATTTGAGAGAAAGCACTATTCGAAACTGATTTCCATTTGTTAATTATCCATCTAAATCAACCTAAAACATAATAGGTAGGTACCATTCTGAGTATTTGGGTTTGAACGTAAAAATGAATAAAGAAATCTTAGGGGAAAGAAAAAAACCTGACATTCTTTATATAGACCTTTGTTAACAGTACATTTTGACACTTTAAATAAGACTAGTTAATAAAATTGGTGGATAGCAATTAAAACAAAGATGAATGAATTGTGTGACGAATCACTAATAACAAGAAACTGAATGGTTCATATACCTGAATGATCATTAGGAAAAGGGGAACTGCCCACCAGGTGACACTACTTTTTCTCCTGTCTCTCTCTGATTGACTTCCATCAACAAAACATCAATCATAGTTAGCTTAACACCGTAAACAGCCAACACTGTCATCGTTTTTTTGGTGGAAGGGTATTTGAAAGAGAAAGGGGATGTTGTGTCCCAGTCTCCTGCCAGGTATTAGGCTAACTTGGAATCTCAGAAATACACTTACTGCATTTATCTGCCTTTTGGGAAAACCCACTGCAAGTTAATTCTGTAGCCACCAGCTATAGATTCTTAGAAAGGAGAAATTGGGGCAGATTTAGAGGTTCAGCTTGAGGCCCAGTAGTTTCAGAGCTCTTCCTCATGGTAGCAATAATGTTAGCATCGGCTGCTAGGGTTCCTCTGGCATGTGCCTCACAAACAGAACCAGTGGCTAAGGGAGAGTCACTGTGCAGCTCATCGGCTCCCCCTTAAAGCCTGAAGTCAGAGTCATTGAGTTTCATTCTAGAGCTGAAAGAGGACTTTGAGGTCACCCACCTAAACAAAACATGTATCCCTGAGGAAACACTATAGGCCAAGTAAGGAAAAGCGACGTGAACAAGGTCACAAAGCTAGCCCATCCACGTTTTAAAACCAAAAGTTGGGGAGGGGCATGACTCTGCTTTTTAAATTTGTTTCAATTGTTTTTTGTTTGTTTGTTTGTTTGTTTTATTTTTTAATTTTTAAATTTTTACTTTCTCCCTGTAGAAAAAGGGCAGAGTCCGACTCTAGAAAGAGCAGCATTCCGAACAGTAAGGAGGTCCCTTCACACCATCCAACAGACCCGGTAGAACTAAGGCGCCTTAATTTCCAAACACCAGGTAAGAGTCATGACTCCCCTTGTCCATGATCCAGCCTTCACTGAAACTGTGTAGCCTAGTTGATGTTGCCTTGAGAGATGAATGCATCGCTTTATTTTGAAAAATTTGGTATCTCTTTCTCTTTTATTTTCATATTATTGAGATTTGCCAAAATATAAGTATTGAAAGGAAATTAAACTCTCTGTGCAAATCTGAGGTGAGGTGTAAATGAGGAAAAAAATATATAACTCTTCTACAAACATGGACAATTTATACTCCTATAAGAACAGCTACCATTTTTACGGGCTTATGACCGCAATTATTATTTTCAATCACATGTATATGGAAAGAATTCAGGTTCTCATCTTATAAAGTGAATGAATAGATGGTGGATTAATGTTAACATCATTCGCCCGACTGGGAAAGAATATACAGGGTGGGGCAATAGTAGGCTTACAGTTGTTTGTATGAGAAATAATACAAAAATAATAATACAAGAATAAACTCTGTGTTTTGCATATTCATAACTGCACACCTGCTTTTGCCCCACCCTGTATTCTGTAGTTTTCTATTAATTTGTATCTATATTACTCTGAAAGAAAGGGGTGGGGAAGGGAGGGGAGGGATGGCCAGGAGAGGAAGGGAAGGATGTGGGGAGGGAAAGGAACTAAATAAGGCAAAGTTTGTGTCTGACTTTCACTGACCAATTCAAGTTTCTTACTGAGGAGATACATGGAGTGTCTGAGAATAAGAAGAATATGCTTGTTTTTGAAAATAAATAACATTAAGTGCTTCAACAGAGGAAAAATATTCTTGCTGTGCGGCATTTTGTACAGTTAATTGAAGTCTAGTCCTATTTTATTGTCTTTTAAATAAATCTTGTTTATACCAAATGAAGGGCAAGTAATGAATGGTAAAGAGAGCTAAAAACATAAAACTGAATGGCACACTCTTAATACCTAACGATAATGAGCACAGTAAAGAGCTGACCTAGGAAGTCTGTTTGATTAAAATGGGGCAGCAGTGTACCCCCAATTGTTGGGACGTTTTCTCTGTGTCAAATGGATGTTCTCACTCACAGTAGGATACACCACAGGTTTATTCAGCTACACATTTGCAGTGAACTGTTTGGAATTGAAAATACATGTTTTATTGTATTTAGCTTATTTTCTCTTTTACATGTAGAAATACCGTAGTAACTTGTAACTATTCAGTTCAAAGAAACGTTTGGCAATTACAAAGTGGTTGTACAAATTATCATAAAGGTGCTTTGTTTAAATGCTATTGCAAGTGAGGTTCGACTTATTAAAAATTGTGTTTTAAAAAGCAAAGTCTACCTTCATCAGCATAAAAGGTGGGAGGAAATAAATGTTCACAGAGCTGGAATCTGCTGCAGGCATATTATGAAACAGACTGTGCAGTGTAGATTATATACATGTGCACAATGACTGAAAAAACTGGAGTCCTCCAGGACCACTGTGTGACCTGGGATGCTCCCTGCTGAGTTACCCACTTGGTGCTCCATTAAGGCAAAATTATATGAATTGAATAGTAAACCTCTCTGTTCAGCACTTTTTGAAATAGTAGCGTACTGGCTTTTTCAGGCTCCAGGCAACTTTATAATAATGAACTCAGGAACTCATGTACTTTTCGCCTAGGCGAACCGATGTGTAGAGGACCTAAAAGTCCCAGAAACAATTTAGCACATGATTTCTTGCATATGTTGCCTCATCACCTTGATGAGAGCAGCACGTTGTAGAAATGGAGAAAATGATCATGTTGCTCAGTATCTTGCTGCTTGGCACTGCCCCCACCTCCTCGGACTTCTGTGTCAAGTGTTATTGGTGCTGGAACAACCTTGGTTTCCGTAGAGAGAGACAGAAGCATACTACAGGGTTGAGTGGAAAGCCAAGGGTAGCCCCCGAGAAGAGAGCCAGTGGGAGTGCTGTCCCTCACCACTGCAGCACCAACAGAGAACGTTTCCAAGCATTAATGTGAAGCATGATAGGATCTGTGTAGAGAGGGTTGTTAGGGAAGTGCAGATGACGACGAGAAAGGGAATAGAAATACTTCAACCAGGAGACCTCCATCTACAAGTACTTCTCACTTTGACAGGTCATTTTTGAAAATATGACAAAACCCAAGAATTCTATTAAGAATCAAATTTTTTCCAATGCATATGGAAATATTAGATCCATGTATAGAGCAACCCTATTAAAATTCATATAAGTCACTGGAAAGGAGAATGAAGGCTACAATTGAAGTGACATTAGTTATATCACCAATGATATAACAAAATTAAAATGGGAACCCAAGTACATAGTAGATATCATTGAAACAAGCTTAGACTTATCGACTTAACTGGATCATAGAAATGGGCACAACGAATAAAGAAGGAGAGAGGACATTTCCGTAGAGGAAGAGAGTAGAACAACAGAAATTGTCCTAAGATCCTAGCAAATCTGTTGGCTCAGGAAACAGTGCTGTGTCCTTTAGCTCAGGTGAGTGATCTACTTGAGCTTGACTTGTTGAAAAAATCTATTTGCCTCCTAAGATCTATAATGTGACCTGCTGTCCTGAAAATTGGACCAGTTTACAAAGGAAATAGATGCAGCTGCTAATGTGAAATTCGTATTAATGTGACAGTTTGCTTCAGCCAGTATGGGTTCCAGCCAGTGGCTATGAATGACCTGGATTACTTGCCAGTAGGATGAGAGCAGAAGGTGGGATTGTTAACCTAGGAAACTTTTTGTGCTTTTTTCTCTCCTCTTACTATGTAATGATGGACTTTCCTAGGCGGTGAAAGGAAAGGGCCCTTTATTAGGTGTTCCATAGCAGATGATATGGCACTACTTAATTTTTGGATATTAAACCAAAAAATGTACCTTTCACTATCTGAAATGTGCTTTTATATACATCGGACCTTTGAATGTATAGTTACTTATCCCCAAACATTGTAAAGTTTGGCAGTGTTGATTACTGGTATGCATTATTAGGGAATTAATCATACATTTATTCACTTTAAATAAATGACTTTCAATGAAATCAGAAACCAGCAAGTTTTTATAACTAGCCCCTACCACAGAACTTGTGCATGAAAGCAAATTGGGTCTGTCGTGGATGGAAAAATACCAAATAATGCCATTTGAAATGCAGTAGTTCTTTCAGAAGGTAAGTGAAGACTTTGCTTAGTCCGTGGAGTCTATGAATTCTATTTTTGTTTTTAAAAAGCCATCTTGTGAATAAAAAATATATATTTACTCTTCAAGTTATTTATTCTTGTTGGAAAGTCTAGATGTAAGGAGGCGGACTTGTTTTCCCCTTGATTCTGCCACATATTCAAAAGGTATTGAAATATGCATTTTAGATAAATGCAGTACTGGAACAATTTAAGTTCTTCAAAGACTCTTACCCTTAACTGCAGAAACACACACACACACACACACACACACACACACACACACACACCCCCCCCCCCCCCCCCACACACCCCCCACCCCCCCCTGTCTCTGGGTTAGAAGAAGGAAGAGGTCAGAATTCTATTCACTGACTCCCAGCTAAGGCACAAAGTGAAGATAGGAAAACCTGTCATTTTCAGTGAACCACCCCTGTGAGGTTGCCGAGTGTGGAGAGAACATGGCTTGAGCACACTTTCCAAGTTTGAGGTGGCAGTCAAGTCACTGTGAGCAGCACTGCATTCCAGCATCTGAACACGGTGAGGAAGTCTCACACCTCCCCAGTTGAGAACAGGGACCCCTGCTGGTAGAGATTTTCCATGAATATGCTTCTCTCTCTGTCAGGTTCAGATGCCAGTACACAGCCAACTTGTGTTTAGAACGCAAACTACCTCATCTCCGAAAAGAATAGGGTTTGCAACAATAAATCATCCTTTGTTGGTGGATGGTGTCAGTCAGAACCAGTGTGGAACATACAATTAAAGGGGCATTGCTTGGTCACCCATGACCTACAGGAGTAAAGCAGAGACCTGAATATATAGGAAGGAATCATTTAGCCAAGGTTAGACTGATCACTTTAAGTGGCTAATGGAATGAACTGGGCAAAATGAGAAAAGGAGAGAGGACATGTGATAGAAGAGCTAGAATTTACAGCTGATGAATTTTAACAAGTCTCTAAGACCAGTGGAGGAAGGAACGAACATATTCATTTATGAAAGATACTTTTAAAAGAAACCTCCGGGAAGCCTCACATATTTTTGTGGGCAGCAGTAACTGGGTATGTGCTAGGGTGGTTGATAGATGTGTTACACGTCAAACTTAAGTGAACTGTGTCCACTAGCCTAGGTTGGGAGGAAAGTTTATCTTGATTTCTCTTTAAAAACATTTTTTCTGAGTCATTCTGTGACTGCCCCCCACCCTGGATATCTGTTTTGTTCTCAATTACAGAAGCAACCCATGCTGGGGAAATTTTGTGAAATTAAAAAACAAGCTTGTTCACAGTTGTACATAGGTTGTGGCTACACAGGTGTTCATTATATTACTCCAAAGTTTTTATGTTTAAAATGTTTTAGAAGTTGCAAAAGTCAGGAAAAGCACTTTTTTAAAAAGTTACTCTTTACTCCACCACTTTTTGTTTTGTATTTGACGTATTTAAAATAAAATGAAAAGATTTCCTATTGCTGCTCCAATTTTACCGCCAGAAAGGTCTCCCACAGGCAGCTCCACGCCCTCCCAGGCTTCTTATATGAGTATCTAGTCCTCGCAATGATCAGGCACAGAGCAGGTGTATTTACATCCAGTTTCCTGTTTTAACAGTTAACGGCATGAAAATGGACCTTTTTGCAAGGTAGCATATTAAGTTTATCTCCTCTTGAACAACTGACGGTATTCTGCTCTACAGGGTGTCACAGAGGTACGGACGCGTTGCTTATTAATGGAGGCTGTTATTTCCCGTGTTTTGCTCTTGCAAATAATACCATAATGAGCAGCACTGAGCCTCTTTTCACGTCTTTGTTGCCATTTCTGAATGTTAGACGCCTGGGAGTGTGATTGCAGGGTTGTAGG